TGGAAGTCAGATGAGTTAGAGATCATTGGGTATACTAATTCCGATTATGTTGAATGCCAATATACTATGAAGTCAACGTCAGGCTATATCTACTTATTGGCTGGAGGTGTCATATCCTAGAAGAGTACTAAACAGTCCCTTATAACATCTTCTACTATGATTGCAGAGTTTATAACTTGTTATAAGGCATCCAATCAAGGAATTTGGCTGCAAAATTTCGTCACAGGATTACGTGTAGTGGATAGTATTGAAAGACCACTCAAATTATTTTGTAACAATAAGTCAGCAGTCCTATATTCCAATAATAACAGGAGTTCGACGAAATCTAAATATATAGATATCAAGTTCCTGACTGTTAAAGAAAGAGTACAGAGTGGACAGTTATCAATAGAGCATATCGGGACAAACTCCATGGTTGCGGATCCGCTTACTAACGGATTGTCACCCAAAATATTTCATGAGCATACTGCTCGTATGGGTGTCATGTTGTTAAATTATGTACAGTTTTAGTGGGATTTTGATATTTTAAATGCTCTTATGATATTTTTCGATTATTAATGATTTAAGGATATTTTATGCATAATAAAGTTTGGATTTATTTACACTCTGACTTTGGTATGGTTTAATCTCATAAAAATTTAAAATGAATCAGTTGGAAATAGGCATGTTTTGATCATATTACATGAAATTTTCATGCTATATATCCACACCATGATTCATGTTATTTAATTGTATCGATATATGTGACTATTGATGGGTCGAGTTACGAAATTGTAACAAAGGCCGCTTTGATCCTATATTGATGTGATTGATGGACCAAATTGGTTACAGATACATTTTAATAATGACAGTAAAGTTGAGCTAATACGGTTAATTGCGAAACATAATTATAAGGTTACACATTAGTCCAAGTGGGAAATTGTTGGATCTTTAATTCAACGTTGGACTTATATGTGAATAATTATGGGTTGCAAACTGTCAAATAAGGTTAAATCTATTAAAGTGATCAAATATAGTTTGGAGTTAATGTATCTAATAAGATGTGGATCTTTAATGTGTAGAGATTTCAGGGCTCCTATTTCTATGATGGGTTGAAATAGGGTTCCAAAAGGTAACAGGAATGTTACCTATAAATAGGGTTATGGTCCCTAGGTCACATGTATCATTCTATTTGTCGTATTTTCTAGTACCACAAAATATATCTCTTCCCTGATATCCCATCGTCGGAAAAGATACCAGAGAGAAATTAAAGGGCTCTCTCAAGGATTGACGAATACGTGTTGATTTGGAAGGCCACCCCAATATCTTTGGAGATTCATATATCAGTTTGTCGATATGAATCCAGGTATGCTTCCGCATTTATAGTACAGTTATATTCAAATATCTGATATTGGAATCTTGAAAATCTTACACTGGATACTCTTCTTGCTCTGAAGACAACCATATTAGATCCCCAAAGGATCATCCCAACCAACTGGTCCACTTCTACCTCCGTTTGCAGCTGGATTGGAATCGCTTGTAACAGTCGCCACCAAAGAGTGGCACTGAAACACATACGAGCTGAAGTTTGCATTTCTTTTCGGGATTCAAAAAGAGATATTAAGAAGTGCAATAATTCCATTGCAGTACAATTTTATGTTTCTATTTTGACTAGACCAAATTTTGCTTACACTCCTAAGTAACTAAACCTCATGGTTAGAGTATATGTAGAGTATAGCTATGTAGAACTGATTAATGCGTTCAAGTTTCCAATTTCGGCAGATAAAAAGCAATGTTTTCAAAATTGGATCGGACCGGACTGGCCGGTTCGATCGGTCCGACCGCGAACCGGTCATGTCGCAGGTCCGGTCCAGTATCAGACCCGGAAGGTAATGGAAAATCGGGCGAACCGGACGAACCGTTAAAACCGGGAACCGGCGGTTCTTAAATTTTCAAGCAATATAACCTCAAATTCAAAATAATAGCAAGAATGGAGGCTGCTAGATTCGAACTTGGGTCTCAGAGACCACAATAAGGTATGCTTGCCGCTAAACCACAGCCAAAGGACGAGTTATTGTTGTGTAGAATTGTACTGAACTAAAAAATAAAATCAGATAAATAAAAAAACCCTAGCATTAAGAAAGTGCAGACGACACATTTCATTTCAATTTCACTTCCTCCATTTCTCTCTCTCAGCTTCTTCAGTTCGCATCTTGATTTTTTTTTAAAAATTTTTTCTTCATAATCCTTCACATCCAAATATCCACGACAAGATCATCACGCTATTATCTGTAGACGAGACTCTAGAGCTTTTCCATCTTGGTAAGTTTAATTTTTGTCTTTTATTGTTTTTCATAGAACAAGTATGTTGGATTATTTCTGTGATGCCGATTGTTTCTTCTTCCATTCCCTGGTACTTAATCTTCATTAACAAACTACTGAGATGCTTCCATGATTAAGGTGATACTATACAAAAGTTTTTTTTTATTTCTTCAGGCTTTGAACTTTTGATTTTGGAAACCTGAATTGTTGTGGAAGCTTGCAATTAACAAGGGCTCTTGGTATTTGTTGATGTCATTGAAATATTATACTCTTTAATATAGAGAAACCGAAATCCTTTGATCTTTTTCACTTGTGCCAACTTCAGTCTTTGACACACAGAGAAACGTAGAGTTGAATATACAGAGATGTGTAAGACTGGGAAATAATCATGACATTTTTTACCCATTGCCACATATCCAGATACATGTTATTCAAGAAGAAACAACTCGATTTTTGTAAAAGTTGTACTTGTTTATGAGTTATAAATGATAGCCTTTTTTACAGTTGATTTCCTTCTTCAGTTGAATATAGAAAAATCCACTACTTTTAGGAGTCATTTTCTTCAAATCAATGTTCTTTAATGAATTAGTAGAAATCATTTTAATTGTCAAATCCAAGAAAAATTGCCTATGGTAACTTGTTTGAGCAATTTATGTCTTTGCTAACTTTTCTGTTTCCTTTATTTATTGTTTGTTCAAATAAATTTAATTGCTTTTTATTTGTTAAAAGCAACTAGGATCATAAGAAATTATATCTCTTTCATTCAAAGTTTAGGAGATTTATTTGGTACTATATTGTATAAAGTTTGGCAGCTTTAGCTTATTTAATTACCGTTGATTATTAATACTCTAAAAGTAAGAAGTGTTATATTGTTTACATTAGTGGTGCAAAAGTGAGCAAAAGTGACTAATTGATCTTCTTATATTACTGAAAATTTGTTAATTTTATTTTCTTATTAGTACACTATATTTTACAAATGAACTAATTATGTCTAAATTAACTATGTGAAGGATAATGGAAACCGATACTGGTACTAGTAGTAATTCACAATCTTCGACTATTGGAGCTGTCAATAGTGAACAATCAGCTAGTCAAAATCATAGACAAAAGTTTGATATAGCATGAAATTATTGGGCCTGTTTGGAAGTGAATTTTTTGACCAAGTTTTTTACCTACTAGTTTTTTAACAACTTTTGCTACAGGAACCCCAAAAAACTTCTTAAAATTTTTTCTCTACACACTTAAAAAATCTAATACACAAAAATTTTCCAAAAACTTTTCTTCTTTTTCCTTCCTCATCCAACCCACCATGCCAGCCACCACCTCCACCACTTGTACCGGCGCCGGTCACCTCAAAAAAATTTTTTTCTGTCCCTCACCCTCGCCCCCTCTCCTCTGCAGAAAAAGGAGTAACGCTGTCGTTTATGCCGGGGGTTGGGCCGACTGTCTCTCTTTATTTATTGTTTTTTTTTTTTTACAAATCACCCAAAGTGGAGTTAGGGTTGGGGAGATCCGTTATTTCCATGGTGGGCATGGAAGGAATTGCAGCGGCGGGAGGAACTGGAATTAGAAGTGGAAGTGGAATAGGGGGAGGAGGAGGAGCTGTCTCAGTCTCAGAGAGGGGGAGAGGAGAAAAGCAAAAAAAAAAAAAAAAAAGAACAGAGCCAAGCAGGGGCATAGAGGTCGAACGACTCTGCGCTCGTTACGACTGGAATGCGCTGTGGTCGCGCTGTGGAGAAGGCGCACCAGGAGCTGGGCTGGCTGATGCGCGTGTGGAGGAGGTCGGGGGCACTGGCGCTCTGGTGCACCTGCGTTTCTGGTCGAAGAGGCGCCGGAGGTGATGGTCGGCACTCCAAGAAACAAGGGGAGGGAGAGGGGGAAGGGGCAGTGGGGGAGGGGGTGGCAGGGCAGAGGAGGTGGCGGGGCAGCGAGGGAAGGGGGTTGTGTGCAGAGGGGAGGGGAAGGCGGGTAGCGGGGGAAGGGGTGGTGTGCAGAGAGGAGGGGGAAGAGGGGGAGGGGGTGGCGGAGCAGCGAGGGAAGGGGCAGCGGGAGGAGGGGTTGGTGTGCAGAGGGGAGGGGAAAGACAAAGGAGAGGAGAAGGGGAAAGGGAGGAGAGGGGTGGCGGGAGGGGGAAGAAGAAGAAGAAGAAGAAAGAGAGGAAAGAAAAGAAAAATGAAAGAAAGAAAAAGAAAAAGAAAGAGAAAGAAAAAAAGAAAAGGGAAAAAAAATTTCACCTTATAAAAACTTCTACAAAAATTTTTACCTTACAAAAACTTCTACAAAAATTTTTTTCACCTTTCAAAAACTTTTACAAAATTTTTTCAAAAACTTCTACAGTGCACTACAGTAAAGTTTTAGACAAACTCTCAAAAAACTCAGGTTTCAAACAGGCCCATTGTTTAGTAGGTGTGAATAGTCAAGGAAGAAGAACTTTGACATGTGGGTATTGTTTTAAAGTAATTGCTGGTGGTGGCATTCATCGAATGAAACAACATTTGGCAGCAGAACAAGGCAGCATTATTCCATGTTCAAAGGTTGACCCGGCAGTTAGACATGCTATTTTAGCATCTATGAAGGAGAAGGAGTAGAAATCTAAAGAAAAAAAAGGTGATTTTGGGGTGAAAAATCCATTCGGCCACACTACTCATGTATTTGATGGCGATGAAGTATTGGAAATTCCTTCTTCTTTAGCAAATGAGATGGGTTCATCTAGTAAAGGAAAGAGAAAGGTCACTGCATCAACAGGTATACGTGCTCTTTTTAAAGGTGGACGTGATACTTCTCAATCAACCATTAAAACTTGTTTGCAAAGTAAGGAAAAATGGACAAATACGGACGTAGCTATTGCTTTTTGGTTTTATGATGCTTGCATTCCTATAAATGCTGTTAATTCTCCATTTTTTCAAAAAGTTATTGATCAAATAGCATCAATGGGTAATGGTTACAAAGGCCCCTCCTATCATTCTTTGAGAGTTAACTTGTTGCGAAATGCCAAGAGAGATGTGAAATTAGTTGTTGATTCTTTTATAAGTACTTGGGCAGAAACTGGTTGCACTATAATGGGTGATGGATGGAAAGACACTAGACAAAGACCATTGATTAATTTTTTGATTTATTGTCCTAAGGGTATTTCGTTGATTAAATCTGTGGATGCATATGATATTGTAACAAGTGCAGAAAATTTGTGCAATTTATTTGCTGAAATTGTTGAGATGGCTGGCTCAAATAATGTGGTGCACTTAGTTACTGATAATGCTAGCAATTATAAAGCTGCTGGGTCTTTGTTAAGTGAAAGATATCCGAACATTTGTTGGTCACTGTGTGCTGCACACTGCATCAATTTGATTTTGAAAGACATTGGTGAAATGAATGATGTAAAAGCTATAGTGTCTCTTGCTTCAACGGTGACTGTTTTTTATCTACAATCATAAGTTCACTTTGAATTGGTTAAGAAAGACTATAGGGTGGAAAGAAATTATTCGTCTAGGTGAAACTCGATTTGCAACTACCTTTATTGCGTTAAAAAGTTTGCATGATCATAAGGATAGTTTGCAATCTTTGGTTACTTGTGGGGATTACAAAAAATTTCTGAGAATAGAAAAAGGAAAAGATGTGAAGCAAATCGTTTTGGATGAAAGGTTTTGGAATAACTGTTTGATCATGATGCGAATAATGGGCCCTATCATTCGTTTATTGCGTATTTGTGACACTGATGAAAGGCCTTCAACGGGTTATGTTTATGAAGGCATGTTTAGAGCAATAAATGGCATCAAAAGGCTGTTTAGAAATAAAGAGAGATTGTACAAGTCTTATATTGACATCATCAATGATAGGTGGGATAGAATGTTGAGAAAAAATCTACATGCTGTCGCTTATTATTTGAATCCTGCTTTTCAATATGAGACTGCCACATTTTGTACACATCCAAAGGTTATAAATGGCTTGCTTGATTACATTGAAACAAAAGTGGATTGGTGCAACCCTGAAAAATTATCGCAAGAGGTTGGAATGTATCGGGAAAGACAAAGGAGTTTTGGATGCAAACTTGCTATTCTTACTAGCAAATCTGGTTGGCCTGGTTATTTATATTTTGTTGATATCTAAAACTTGTGAATTTATTCTTTATTTGATCTAATATTTTAATATGATTGTGACAGAAAATTGGTGGAAGTTATATGGTTGTGATGCTCCGAATTTGCAAAAGATTGCAATTAGAATTTTGATTCAAACAACTTCTTCTTTTGAGTGTGAACGTAATTGGAGCGTTTTTGAACGCATTCACACTAAAAAAAGGAATCAGTTGGAGCACCAAAGACTTAATGATCTTGTTTATGTGCACTACAATTTGCGTTTGCAACATAGATATAATTGATTTTTTACTTTATTCTTTACATTTTATTTATAAAGTAATATTAGATTTGTAACTAATGTATTTTATTGTAGGTTTGATCACCGAAAGAGATCTTATGGTCCCATTGATTATGAATCTATTCATAAAATGGAATTTTGGGTCATAAAAGAAGAACAAGATGGCGAGTTTAATTGTGATGAATTGGAGGAAGAATTCGAAAAACTTCCTAAAGATGATTCTCAACTAGTTGAAGGTTGGTTTTAATATTAAAATAAATATATTTTTAACTTGTAATATGAGGTGCTAAAAGTGCATTTTTTAATTGAAATTTTATTATAAATATGGATAAATTCTTAATTGTTTATTTATTTAGATGATGAAAGTGAAGTTGGGGAAGATAATGCTATTGATTTGGAAGCATTTCAGCGTAGGCGCCTTTTGGATGATGATGAAGATAATGATTGATAATATAACATGTTAATTAGTGATGTTTAGTATCAATTGATTCTTTTTGTGTTTGGTTGTATCTTTGTTTTTAGAATTTTTTTGACTTTTTTTTAGTTTCACCAATTAGATTTATATTTTTTGTAATAAATTTTTTAATTTTTCAGGTTAAATTGATGAAATTGTAAAGGAGGTGCTGTTGCCTTGTCATGCCAATGATGGAAGTTTGTTATTCAAATTGTTTGCCTTGAATATGAGTTGAACTCTGTGATGGACTTTTTGAGAATTGTAAAAGAATGTCAACATTTATTTTATTTATTTTTGTGTTTTTGTTTATGATAATTGATGAACATTTGGACTATATCTATTTATGTTTATAATGAATTTATGAAAACCTGTGATAAATTATGATATTTTAGTTATATTTATCATGCCAAGTTTCATGTATAACTTTTAGAAAATTTATTATTATCTCAACTTAAATTTAATTTTAAGTTATATTGGTGAATGTATTTTAGGGACTTAAGTTATTAATAATCATGTTGGATTGTACATTAGCTGTTAAGTTTTAGTGTAGACTGTAGAATGAAAAACTATGAACTGTGAAGTAAAAAAAAAAAAAAAAAGTTGAATCGTTGAACCGGGCGGTCAGACCGTGAACCTCTCTCCCTCCGGTTCGCTGGCAGGTTCGAGTTTAAAAACATTGGTAAAAAGCCAGTCAAATAATTTACTGACATGTCCAGCTCCAAAATATCTCTTAGGCTCAAAAGGCTTGTTGTGTGGTAGAACTTAATTTTTTGGAATTAAGATAAATATTTCTGAGTGTAGCAACATTTCTTAAAGAGTTAAAAACAAAAAATCCCCTGTGTTATATTTAATATATAGAAAAGCCTCCCGTAGTTTCGAAACATACAAAACGACATCTCATGTTTTGAACTAAATTGTAAACTAATAAAATTCGTTAAATTTAATGAAAATAACGGTCTCGACTGTTAAACTTATTGGATTCCATTAAGTTTACTGTTAATTTTAACGAATTCCGTTAAATTTTCTGTTAAGATTACCAGATTTCGTTAAGTTTAACAAATTCTGTTAGTTTATAATTTAGTTCAAAACATGAGGTGTTGTTTTGTATATTTTGAAACTATGAGGGATTTTTTTTGTGTATTAGGTATACTACATGGAGTTTTTTTTATTTTTAACCCTTTCCTAAACAAGAAGCCACCATACCAGAGAGCTTATTTTGTCCTAGATCTAAATAGCCTAAGTTCAACAAATAACAAAAGTCACTTGGAATAGCACCTTGCATTTGATTGTCGCTTAGATCTATCCTCTAAAGCTTCAAGAACCATTTGATTGTAGTTGGAATTAACCTTGTTAAACTATTGCCGTTAAATGCTAAGTTTACCTATTAGGTGATTATTTATATTAAATTTTGGTAAAAACTATCATCTATTAAATCCAAAATTTTTATGGTAATTATTAAGAAATAAATTAACAGCAAAATTGTGGAAGCGTACTTGGATTCATATTGACTAACTGGTACTTGAATCCTTAGAGATTTTGAAATGGTCTTCCAAATCAACACGTATTTGCTATTCCCTTGAGAGATGCTTTTAGTTTCTCTCAAGTATATTTTCTGATGATGGAATATCAGGAAAAAATTATTTTGTGGCACTAAAATACGATAATAAGAATACATGTAACTTGGGAACCATAACCCTATTTATATATAACTTTCCTACTCTCTTTTTTATTCCTATTTCAACCCATCATAGAAATAGAAATTATTCTTAAATCTCTATAAATTAAAGACCCACATCCTATTAGATACATTAAAATCTAAACTATATTTGATCACTTTAATTAAATTTAACCTTATTTAACAGTCTGCAACACATAATTATTTATATATAAATCCAACGCTGGATTAAGGATCCAATAATCTCCCACTTGGACTATATTTGTAACCTCATAATTATATTTTGTAATTAACCATATGAGTTCAACTTCATTGTTTTAATCAAAATGTATCTACAAACAATTCGGTACATCAATTACACCAACATAGAATCAAAGCGATTTTTGTTACAAGTTTATAACTTGACCCATTAATGGTCACATGTATTGATATAATTGAATGACATGAATCATGATGTGAACGTGTAATATGAAAATTTCATGTAACGTGATAATAATATGCCTATTTTCAATTGGTCCACCTTAAATTTCGTGAGATCAAACCATACCAAAATCAGAGTATAATAAATCCAAACTTTATTTGTACAAAAAAAATTCTTAAATCTTAATAACCAAAAATATAATATTATAAGAGTATTTAAAATAACAAACTCACACTACAACTGAATATCATTTAATAACATAACACCCATATGAGCAGTATGCTCATGAAACAATTTAAGTAGCAATCCCTTAATAAGTGGATCCGCAACCATAGAATTTGTTCTGATATGTTCTATTGACAATTGTCCACAGTGTACTCTTTCTTTAACAGTCAAAAATTTGATATCTATATGTTTAGATTTTGTCGAATTTCTGTTATTATTGGAATATAGAATTACTGAAATTTGAGTGGTCATTCAATACTATCCACTATACGTAATCATATGGTAAAATTTCGTAGGCAAATCTTATGATTGGATGTCTCATAATAAGGTATAAATTCTGTAGTCATAGTGGAAGAAATTATAATAGACTGTTTTGCACTCTTTCAGAATATAACACCTCCAGCCAACAAGTAGATATAACTTGATATTGATTTCATACTATCTTGACATCTAATATAATCAGAATCAGTATACCCCAATGATCTCGAACTTATCTGACCTCCGATACGTGAGCATGTAATCTTTTATTTTCTGTAAATACTGCAAAACCCATTTGGTTGCCTTTCAATAATCTAATTTAGAATTGCTTAAATAGCTACCCAACATCCTTGTAATGTCCACAATATCCGGACGCGTACAGATCTAAACATACATTAGATTCTCTACTGTTGATGCATAAGTAATATTTTATATTTTTTTTCTTAAAAGTATTTTTAGAATACTTATCGAGACTAAACTTATCTCCTTTAGTCACAGGGGAGTTACATGATTTATAGTTTTGTATGTCATATGTTTTAAGAATATTTTCGATATAGTCTTTTGTGATAGGCTAAAAATATCCCAAGAGCGATTCCAGTGTATCTGCATGCTTAACACAAAAGATGTATCATCAAGATTTTTCATCTCAAAATTTTTAATTAAAAATCTCTTGATTTCATGCAATAATCCTATATTGTTGTTGCCAAGTAAAATGTCATTTATATACAATATCAGGAAAATATAGTTGCTCCTACAAAACTTATGGTATATACAATCATCTACTAAATTCATCTCAGAACCAAATGAAATGATCATTTGATGAAATTTAAAATACCATTGTCGAGATGCTTCTTTGAATCCATAGATGAATTTTTAAAATTTACAAATTATATTTTTTGGATCTTTCGATACAAAATTTTCTGACGGCACGATATAAATCGCCTCATCAATGTTATGATTAAAAAATGCTGTTTTTGTGGAGACCCGAAAATTTTCTTATTTTTATCATATTTTACTGATTTATTTAAAT